GTATCTCCGAAAAGGCCACCATGTTGATGTCAGCCCAGTCCCAGTCTCCACTGCTAATCTGGGCGATAGTATGAGTCTTTCCCTAGAAAAATGTTTATGCACGGAGAGGCACGGTATTTCATAACAAACACAGTGGGGATGGTTTTCTGGGAGGACCACTTCCTTCAGAGATTGAGCTTTTGCCAGGCATTGCAACCAAGTTAAAAGTTAACTTTTGAGACCATTTAAAACTATGTACTCAATCCGTTTCCCCCCTGCGGATCCAAGTTGTTTAACTGGCCTTTCAGAAAACAATGTAACCAGCCTTGGATGTTTGGACATACCAGGTTTTACAACCTAACAGCTTTTACAACCTAAACTAAACTCTTAGCTTTAACTATGTATTTACTCTGACATGTCCGGACCCAGAATAAGGGTGTACGTGTGTGCAAGTGTGGTTTTTGCACATGTGTGTTGTGGCAATCATTTACTGAAAGTGGTCAATAGGTTGAAAACAATCTTAAAGTAAGCAAAATCCACCATAAATTTTGGAACCATCATGTGACTCTAGGTTGATAACCTTTTTTGAATCTGTGAGTGCAATTCTGGGTCAGTAGGAGTCAGTCCCTTGTAAAACTCTGTTAAATTTTTTTCTGCGAAAAAAATCCGCATTATTTCCTCATACTGTGTTTTCTGAACTATTCAATAATCACAGAAGAAAATTCTTGGTTAGGGCCAGACAGCAAGGCAGGCCCCACCTACCACAGACAGACTTCAGACAGACCAAATAGATGAGAAAGGCACACATCACAGACAACAGAGACAGGAGGGTGACACCGTGGAAATCGAAACGGAGAATTCAAATTTGTGCTCACTGTTGTTCTAAACTATCCCAAGACAAAGAGTCTTTTTTCTTTCTTTAATGTGGCATCGGTACCCTACACTTTTGATGATGCTATTTGCCTGGGGATCTTTACATCTTTTACATCATCATATGGCCTATTTGTACACAGTGACTCTAAAATACATGGAAACGTTTTCTTAAATTGGGTCACAATTTCCGTTGTGCTAAGGTTCTTCTAGATAGTCTAGGAGCCATACTTCCTCTGCTTGCACGGTCACAGAGGCCACTCCTTAGTCACCGGGGCCAAAGCTCATATCCAGGCAGTGCCTTCACCCCAATCTCAGGCTACCTTTCGCTTTTATTTTATACTTTCTTTTTCAACTTTTGTTGCTGGGCATCAAGTCTGTGTGCTAAGCAACTGCTAGACCACTGAGTGGTCCTCCCAGCCCCACACCCTTTCCACACTCACTTCTTGGCCTTGCAGCTGTCTGCTTTAATCAGTCATAAAAACCGATACTGGGTGGTGGCAATGCACGCCTTTAACTCCAGCAATCTGGAGGCAGATGCAAATGGATCTCAGTGAGTTCAAGACCAGCGTCATCTACGGAGCGAGTTCCAGGACAGCTAAGACTGTTACACAGAGAAACCCTGTCTTGAAACAACAACAACCACCACCACCACAACAACAACGAAATCTACTACTACCACCATCACTACCACCACCATCGAAAAACGAGAAACAAAACAAAAACAAACAAAACCAAAACAGTAGCTGCTGTTCTAGGCGACGAATAAGAGGATTAATGAAATGACAGTCTCAAAGGACAGAAAGACGATGAAAGATACATCTGCAAATGCATAATTTTAGGTGTGGATTTATGTGCCAAAAGAAAATATAGAGGAGGGCAGAGGTTAGAGAAAAGAGAAAAGAAAGCAGCTGGGATGGTCAGTCAAGGAAGCTCCCACCTCTGCAGGGTAACATCAGAGCAGGGGTCCAAACAACCATGAAGAAGGGGCCCCTGGGTGTATTTGAAAGAAAATGGCTCTGGACGATAGAAAACCCGAGTAAGCAATCCTGTAACAGGAGCGTGCGTGCACCCTAGTAGAAAGACTCCCGCCTCGGACTCCCCAATATACCTCATAGTCTTATTTCTGGAGACCCTGCTTCCTGGATCCCACACCCCAGTTTCCTCTAGCTTATATCACCTTCCCTTCCTCTCATGGTGGCGTACTGCAGAAAGCGAGCCAATGCGTTTCTTTACAATGCTGCCACTTGTGATCGAAGGAACAGTAAGAAAAAGGAAAACGAAGGAACCCCACCAATAACCATGCCTTTTTAAAGCATTCATGTCGTATATATGAACAGGCAAATTCATTGATACCTCCTGCCTGTATCGTTTCAGTGCCTCCTAAAATGTGTTCTTGCCATCGTCCCTACTCTTCCATCTGTCCTCTGCATGGACACCAGAGCTATCTTCATAAATGCCGGCTGAGCCTGGTACTGTGTGGCTCCAGCTCTCCAGTGATTCTCATGTGACAGCCTCACGGGGCCTTGGGTACCCACTGCCATCTTTCTGATGTCATCTTATACCATTCGTTCTGCTTTTTGCCGCTTGCTGTTTTCGGTACCCAGACATCTCTCACACTGAGGCCATCTGCTCTGGAAACGAGTCTGTCATCCTAATCCATCCCCTCCCCCAGCAGCTTGCTGGACTCTCCCCCCTTCCAGTAGCTGCTCAGACTTTGTTCCCTCTTGAGCTCAACAGTGACCCCGCCAGTTAAACTGGAAGCCCCTGACTACCCCTTCCCCATCATCCAGAAATCCTCATAAACTGCTATTTTCCTTTCTTCTATAGCATTTATCACTTCTTATCATACTTTTGAACTTGATGCTGTGTCTTCATTATCTGCCTTCCTCCTTTTAAGCATAAATCCCCTGAGGGCTTGGATCATTGCATTTTTATTCATGGATACATTACATTCTGAGTCGGAAGAACAATGCTTAGCCATGCATAATAAATTGATTGACTACATTAATCAATATACTTATAAACACCAAGATTGCTTTAAGTCTGCTTTCTTCTCTTTACTGACCATGAGGAGGCATTATCCATTCCTTAAGGCTTTGCACATTATAAGTACTTAGCAAATTAAGTAAACGATTGGCCTTTCTGCTTAATGCAAAAAGTTTAGAAATAAATGTGCGCAGGTAAAATACTGAGATACACTGGTAAGCTCAAAGGGTTACTCCAGCAGAAGCCAGAGCATTTGTTCAGCCTGCACTTAAAAGTGGTGATTTGGTTTGCAAGACCACTTTGGCAAGAGTTTTCAGGACCACGGTTCAGGTACCTTCCTTCCTTCTCTTCTAACAGATGAGAACAGTGGATCCTCAAGGTCTGTGGGGTTCACTATCTTCTAGGTCTTGGGATCATAGATGAGGATGGTAAGGGCAGGTTGATTGCCTTCTCTTTCAGATAACCTCCCATGTCTAATGAGATGCTAACGAAAGCAGACTTCAGAGGTACCTGAAACCCTCTCTGTCGGCACCCATAGCTGCCCCCTACTCAGATGCACGGGAGATTCGGGCTTTGTTTGGCGGCCTTTGTTTGGCACTTTCTTGTCCTGTTCTGAAATAGAGAAATCTGCCGTATGTGAGCAGGATGGCCCTTGAGTCTGTGGATCCACAAATCTTCAGCCACCACACCCTTCCCAGATCTGAAACTTACTGGCTCCTCAGGTTTGGAGGCTTAGTTCCCATTTGGACTCAATTCACCTGTAAAAAGACGCAGGCTAAAAGAATGGATACGAAAATAGAATTCAACCTTCTGCTGTATACAAGAAACACACCTCAACCTCAAAGACAGACACTACCTCAGAAAAGGACTGGGAAAAGGTTTTCTAATCAAATGGACCTAAGAAACAAGCAAGTGTAACTATTCTACTATCTAACAAAATAGATTTCAAACTAAAATAAATCAGAAGAGATGGAGAAAGACACTTTATATTCATAACAGGAACAATCCATTAAGATGAAGTCTCAATCCTGAACATCTATGCCCCTAATACAAGAGCACCCACATATGTAAAAGATATATTATTAAAACTTAAATTGCACATCAAACCCCACACACTAATAGTAGGAAACTTCAACACTCCACTCTCACCAATGGACAGGTCAATCACCACTATCATCTAATCCCAGACCATGCTCCAAAATGGAGCAATATTGCCCACATATGACAAGATATAGGATGCTCATGACAAAATGACAGAAATAAAAGTCCACTGCTCTGGGGTTGGGAAGAGAATACTCAGCAGGTGAAATGCTTTATCTCTTAAGCACGAAGGATCTGAGCTTAATCTCCTGAACCTACATAAAAAGCAGGCTTAGTGGTGGGAGCTAATTTCAGAGCTGGGGAGATCTAGAGAGGCAAAGGTCCACGTTCTATTTAGAGACCCTGTCGGAAGAAACAAGGAGGCCAGCTGCTAAGGAACAACACCTAAGGTTAACTTCTAGCCTCGAACATGCCTGGCACCAGTACGTACAGTTGTACCCATACAAACGTGTAAAGACACCTGGGCAGCACGCGCGCACAAGCACCCCCCCCCCCACTCACTCAAGCACGCACGTAACTCCATCATCCTCAAATTCTTCTTGTAATAGAAGCTGTCCTAGTACCCATCTTAGCCATTTTAGCCTGAAACTCAGAGCAGAAGCAGGGGAGACAGAGGTCAGCACGAGGGTGGTAGGACTACCGAGGGGCTACCTAAATAGGTAGCGGGGAGCCTGAGAGGCTGTGAGCAGGAAGGTCCAGGTATGTTTTCTGAGAAATGCGCCTCTTTCATGAAGCAAGTTGGATAAATAGTCCTTGTTGCTCTGATTGTGGAGCAGCGGCACTGGGGTAGTCTTGAGAACTTTGTAGAAATGCAGAATATCTGATCCCACTTCTGCATCAGAATCGGCATTTCAACACGGCCCCGTGTGAGAGGCCTGGCTTTCCTAGGTTCTAAGGGCTCTTTAAACAAGGGAGAAGCCTGAGTCCTAAGTACCCAGTCCCTAGATCAGCAAGGACACAGATAGCCTGGGAAACGGGAAAGGGGCGGAGCCCCAGAGCCAGAGCGGCAGAGTCCAACCAACCAGCTGCTTGTCACCCATCTCCATTATACATCTGGGTACCTGTCCTCATTTTCTTGGAGAATCCCTTTCTACGGCTCCGGAAACTCGGTCTGCTTAGCCTGCGACGTCCTCTAAACCAGACTAAAAATCAGGGCGGTCGGCGGACGCCAGGCTCCTTCCCCGGCCCTGGAGCCCCGCCCCCACTGCCTCGCTGGGGGCGGAGAAACGTTAAGCCCCGCCCTTCCGAGCCACCCGGAAGTGACGTCATGCCGGACCGGGCTGGTCTTTCGGTGCTCTTCCCCCTCCCGTGCTCTTCCTTCCCAATCCCTTCCCTCCCTTCTTCCCCCTTTACTCCTCCGTCTCGGGGTTCTGCGGCCTCGGGAGCGGCGGAGGAGATGGAGTAAGCGTTCGGTGGCGGCCAGGCGCGCGGTACGAGCGGTCACAGCCCGGAGGCCTTGAGGGAGCCGGCGAGAGGGTGGAGGGGGGCGGACGGGTCCCAGCACCGCCCCTCCAGGTAGCCGGCTGCGAGGTGAGTGAGTGACCGGCCAGTCGAGGGCACCGGGTGACCAGGGTCTGCGACCAGCAAGTGGGCGACGGCCCTCCTCGAGCCTGGCGGCTGGCGACTGTTGCCTGGTGACGGGCCGGGTCGAGCGGGCCGGCGGTGGGTGGCCTGGGGAGCCAGCCTCAGGTAGCGACGAGCGGGAGGGAGCGGATCTCTGAGGCCGGTGACTCCAGGCGAGGCCTTCGGGCTACGGGAGACTCGCTGCCCAGTGAGTTTCCCGAGAGGGAGCAGGGGCTCGGATTTCCGCGGTGGAGATCGCGGTATCCTTTTGGGAAATTGGACTCCGCACCGGGACTGGTGAGACAGCCCTCCCGCGTCTTGTTTCTGAGACCTGGGGTCACCAACTAAGGCCCCTGAACTCCGGTCGCCCTTCGCGGACGGTAGTTGTCTTTCAAGACTGGACGGTTATTGTGTGTGAGATGGGTGGGGCAGATAAGGTTTGTGAGAATAAAATCCCCTTGGGGTCTCCAGTGCGCTTGTTTGTTTAAACTACAAAGAGAGGAGAAGGTTTAGCCAGATAAAGCTTTCAGAAACTTCGTGGCCTTCAACTGGACACATTGCTTGTGCTCCGTAATTCAGGGCACCACTGGTATCAAATCTACCTCTCTAACAGGACTGATGAGACTCCCGTGCAGCGACTTAAAAGTGATTTGATGGTGAGTTCCAGCTGGAGTTTTCACACATCAGATCCAGGGATTGCATGGTGACACTTTAAAAAGCTGTATTTAAGTTTTCTAGTTAGTAAGCCTCTGTTGCAAGTCAGTCAGCCATTATAGACCCTGAGCCTGTCTGGTGATTGTTTCAAAGATTCCTTTTCAACTTTGAAGGCTTTTCCCCCCTTTTATAAAGGTTGGAGAAGAAGGGGGTGTGTGAAGGAAAGGAGCTCAGTTGAAGATCTGGGGCTTTATTCTGTTCAGATATACCTTACATGCGAAAATTACTCATTTTGTCTCTAAGACCGAAAACAGCTGATACAGATGTGTTGTAATTTCACACAGTAGGACATTGTCATACAAATCCATTCTGTATTTGGAAATTCTATTATGTTGACATAATTGAAATTTACTATCTATCCTCTCAAGGAAAAAAATCGGGTCCTCTTTCTGTGTTTCCATCCCTTTCTATAGGAGTTGAAACTTGTTGAGTTTCTGCCGTGCCTCCTCCTCCATTTCTTATGAAATCCTATTGATTTTGCCTTTTAAATATTTTTTGCGTCCTGATTTTCTTTATCTTCAGCATTACCTTCTCGTTCCAGCCACCGTTTTTTTCTCTACCGCTTCATTAAGTCTCTCGCATCTAGAGTTGTTAACTCCCAGAGTTTCTAGTCTAGAATTGATATTTTCAAAATAAAGATCCGGTCATTGGTTCTTCTTCTCATTGGTTCTAGGATGAATTGAACATTTTAGCCCGCTCTGTAGAGCCCTGCTCAGTTGTCCCCTCTGTATGCTCCTTCAGCTTCATCTCTCCAGGGCTTTTGGCATTCCTTTCCTCCCCTTGCCCCCGAGTCTACTGTCTTCTTTCTGTTCCTCCTTCAGGTACATGGCTATGGGTTATGCTTCCTGGAAGTGTCCACGAGAGTCTGGAAATGCTCTTCTTTCCTTTGCTTCTTGTTAATGCTTGTTTATCATACTGTTCACTTCCGACTTGTTTGATCAGGGTAACTTCCCCTCATTAGGTGTTCTCAGAACGCCACTGCAGGTTGTAGCTGTGTCCCTCATCTCCTGATACTGGGTAAATGTTTAAGTGACTGAATTCGTTGAGTGCTTATCAAATGCCCTAGAAATGTACTAAGTATTCTAGATGTATCCATCATCTTTAATTCCTACAGCAATCGCTTGGAAGTCTGGGTGACTTCCCCTCCCTTTTTGTAGGTTAGAAATTATGTTAGGTAGACTAATGTATTAGTTGGGGCTCTCTTAAAATAGATAGAACCACAGTCTATTAAAGAGGACTGTTAGGTTGGCTTCCACAGTAGAAGCGGGTCAGGCCATCATTGGCCCTCTGCATGCTGGAGTGGCTCACCTGGTAGCTGTTCGGTCCCAAGGCCACCTGTCTCCGTAGGCCCAGTCTGATGTAGAAGGTTTGGCGTATTCCTGGAGAGCTGCTTGTCTTCAGTCTGTGTTGGGAGGCTGAAGAAGCTGGGTTCTGCTGTCAGCAAGGACAGCAACAGCAGTGACAGCAGCAGGGTAGAGTCAGTCCCCTGCAAGGACTGAGCGCAGGCAGGTGGAAGTCCTCACATCTCTATCAGGGCTGCCCCTGGAAGGAGTTGCCTACTCTAGGGGGCAGTCTTCATCCCTCAGTTAATTCTTCCAAGAAAGCGCCCCCCCCTACCAAAGGTGTGTCCCTTAGTTGATCCCAGCCCCAGCCGTGTTGACAAGCAGTAGTGACCATTGCACAGATATGAGGACTGGACTGCAGTGTCCTTGCTGTTGGGTAGCGTACGCATAAAGCACCCAATTCTTGGACACTGACTGCAGTGCACGCATAGCGGTTCACAGATTCTGTCCTTAGGTCAGGACGGTCCATAGGCCTGTGGTTTCCCAGCCAGGAAGCTTTGTCTCGTGCAGCTCGTGTTTCGTGAGTTCATTTTCACATGTTGGGCTCAGCTACACTTGGATTTCCCTTTCGTTCCTTCTGTTTTCTTCTCTTCCCTTCTCCTTCTTTCCCTCCCTCCCTTCCTGTCTTCTCTATGTTGCTTCCCTTCTTCCCCTTCCTTTCCTTTTTTCTTCCCTCTCTGTCCCCCCATCCTCTTTTAAGTTTATGCATCATTTTTTTTTAAATTGCATTTATTTGATGTGCGCTCGTGAGGGTACTTGTGCTATGGCATGCATGTTGAGGTCAGAGGACAATCCCACAGCAGGGCCTTTTCTTCCACCATGGGGTCCTAGGGTGGAACTTGGGTCATCAAGTTTGGCAGTAAGTACTTTTACTTGTTTTGCTATCTTAGCCGCCCTAGGTTTTTAAGTTGGGACTAATGTAGACCAGACTGGCTCTGAGCTTTAACCCCTGTGTAGCTGAGGCGGGTCCTTAACTCCTAATTCTGCCACTGGACATGATGGATTTCTTTCTCATCTCTTCTTCTGTCTGCTCCTCCCCTCTCCTTTTCTTTCTTTTATCTCCTGATACTGTGTAGATGTAAGTATTTTAATTGTCAAATGTATTTTAAGTAACGTTTTTATTATACCTTGGACAAAATGCAAGCTAATGCAAGTTTTTAATATTGGTGGACAATAAATGACTCTAATTATTTGAGATTTAAGAGTTTTTTTGAGCATAAATGTAATTTTACATATTGCATTTTTTGTTTGTATCTAGTGTTCATGATCAATTAATTACCCATGTAACATGCTACCCCCTTTTGCCAGGTATCTGTACAATCTAATATTACGACAGATTCACCTGTTGGTTCCTTTGAACACCAGATGAATGCTGAGCCAGATGGTAGAGTGAAATGGTCGTGAAGCAAGACTGAAGTTGCCTTCACGTGTGTTCACTGAGCTTTCTTTAAGTAGGAGAGATGGTTGAATTCCAGGTGCCTGAGGGAACAGCTCTCATGTGCGGCCTAGCCGCTGCTGGTAGCGGTGGTGTTGCAGCTCTTGACTAGGATAGCCGTAGTTTAAAAGGCAAACAACCAGAAAAGAGGACAATACGAATCCAAACTGAGTTCCTTGTCTGCTAAAAACAGCTGCTATACACGTCGTGGCTTACTGAATGGTTCCCTCCACTCTTGGATTTTGAAACGCGGTGAAGGTGAAGAGAGGGAGCCCCAGCTTTGTCCTGTCCCTTTGTGAAGTCGCTGTTCCTGTGCTCTAAGGAGAACTTGTTTATCTTTGCTTTGATCTCCTCCCTCGCTGCTGTTTCCTTAATTCAACAATTTGAAATGCGAAGTGTAACGAAATTGCATAACATAGGTATTTCATAATTATAAAACACATTTCTACGTAGCTAGCCGTCTGTGTCTCTGTGTCCACAAAGCCTTCCTAGGTGTTCTTAGCTTTTCGCTTTCTAGATTGTTTATCGTCTCTGGATATCGTTGAAGTTCTCCCCAGTCTTCCATGCTCCCAGCCTCCACCCGAGTCTGGCTTCCATTCTGTTCCACGAACTGATTAGTCATCTACTCAATGCCAGGAAGCCTTCTGTGACTTCTTCAGCCCGGTGAGTGCACGCTCATCGCTCTGGGTAATCTGGATTGCTGGTGTCGTCTGCCATATTTTCTTCCTGCCGTTGTCTGAACGGCTTTGTTTCACTCCTCCATCCTCCCCCTTTCGATTCCTGGCCATGCTCCTTAAACATGAGCATCTTCAACACTGCTCTTCCGTCCCTAGTACTGTGCTCTTGTAACACTATCACTTGCCCGAAGAATAAAGCCTTTCTAGTTTGTTTCCCTTTATTTCCCTTCCCTCGGTTTCTTACAAGGATGTCAGGCACAATCAGGGGTTTTCAGTAATAGCAAACTGATTAGTGTCCATGTCTCCCACCTGTGTAATTAGTGCTGCTTCCCTTTGGATGCTCAATAGGTATCTCAGATTTGAACATCAGTTCTGAAACTGTCTTTTTGTTTCATCATAAATATTTTTACCATTTTCAGTGTATATTATAATCTTTTCTGTATCACGTCACACAGTAATCCCTTCTT